ATACACTAATGAAAATTGTGTTTTTTAGAAACTTATTCATCTTGATTTCAAATAAATCCTAATATATTAAAAGTATATTAAATATTTTTTAAAGGTTCGTATCTGCCCGCACATGGTGCCGGCAACAAAAGACCTACTTGTATGTTTGTAAAAGAAAACATTTACAGGCTCTCGCAGCTTCATTTTTTGTTGTTGTTGTCATCATGTAAACTGAGAAATGTGAAGAAAAGAAAAATCTAAATGAAGTAGAGCTTTTGCCGTTAGGATTCAAATACCTTATATATAAGGTATGAATATTGTTGTGTGCCTATACTGACAGCAAGATTCATCATACATAACATTTTGGCAGATAAAAGAACTTGGGTTTCTCTCGTCAGCATCATCTTCTTCTACATTCATTTAAGCCGTCTGTAATGAGATTCCATCATACTCTCTTGGGATACAGCAGCAGATTCTTACTACAAGCTCGAGTAATGAAATATACGATTGGTTAGTTGTTGTTGGGCTCACCTTTGGGCTTTATATAAGAATAGACTTTAAGCTACGCCGTCTTTTAGAGGGCATCGATTAATTTTTCTTAAAATTTTATAATTATATACCTCAGAAGCTTCTTTCTCCCTCTTTCTCTTGATCATATCACAATGGAACAGAATTGGTATGTTTCTTTGTTACGTTTATGTTTTTTGTTTTCTCTTTCTTAGAATCTTTTATCTGTCTGCAAAGATCCAACCCTACTTTTTTGAACCCTATAAAACTCTTTTTCTTTTTTTTTGGGCAACGAACCCTAAAACTTTTTATCTGTTGTTATTTGATTTAGATTTTTCATCTTCTTTAAACAGCAAAAGCAATGCTAAAAGTTTGAGAAATCAAGATGTTGTGAATGAGGACATAATCAGTGAGTTGCCTGTAGATTTGCTTCTGCAGATATTATCTTCACTTCCAACAAAAATTGTCACAACCACAAGCATTTTTTCCAAACGGTGGGGATCTCTTTGGAAATTGGTGCCAAATCTTGAGTTTAATTCCGGTCACTATGCATCGCCAGAGAATCTTTGCAAGTTTTTGATTTCACATAAAACTCCGGTTCTAGAGAGTTTGACATGGCATCTTGATTTTATTCATGATGTTTCGGATATTGGAACAGTGATTAGCATTGCATTTGCACGCCATGTGTGTGGATTAGACTTGAGTTTTCCCTATCAGGGCAATGTCAGATTTCCGAGTGAGTTGTGTAGTTGTAACAACACACTTGAGATCTTGGAACTCCATAGATCATTTCTTTCAGACTTTCCATCTTTCAAGTCCTTAGAAAATTGCATCTCTACTATGTGAAACTCATAGGCAAAGAATCTTTTCGCAACCTTTTACGTGGCTGCCTTAGTCTTGAAGATTTAGTCGTGATCGGTACCAATGTGGATGCTCTCACTATTGTGGTGCCATCGTTACAGAGGTTAACCATAAAATCTTATTGGACTAACCCAAGAAAAGGAGGCTATTTGATAAATGCCCCTTCTTTGATGTACTTGAGCATTGTCATGGTTCATGGTTGCGAGTTTGGTGTTATTGAGGATGCGCCAAAGCTGGTGGAGGCAAAACTTATTGACATTTATGATATAACCAATGAGAAGATTCTGGTGTCTCTAACTTCAGCCAAACGTTTTTCTTAGTCTTATCACCCTTGCAGGTAAGATTTGAGATTTTAACATCTATGAGGGCTAACATTGTTTTTTTTGTTACTAATGAATATTGCTTCATGCACAGATTAAATTTCCTACTGATAGTATCTTCTATCAGCTAGTACACTTGGAGCTATGTTCAAACAAAAGAGAGTGGAGCAATTTACTTTGGCTCATGCTCGATAGTTCTCCTAAATTGCGAGTCCTCAAGTTCATGAATGTAAGCAAATTCTTTTTTTTTGTTTTTGTTTTTCCAATAGCTCCATTTTCAGGTATTCTGATGATCTATTGTCATATTAATTGCATTGGTTTAAGCGGATTTGGCCCAATTGTGAGGACTTGGAATGGAAATTACCAAAAAGCATACCGGATTGTTTGCGATGAATGAAACATTTGTGTGGTCGAATTACGGATGGCAAAAAAAAAGATAATAAAGAAGTGGCCACATACATCCTAAGGAATGCAAAACGTTTGAAGAAAGCAACTTTCTTCACACGAGACATGTTGGATAAGAGACGCGAGGCGATGCTCAACGAGTTGTTAGGGCTTCAAATTCGTGTCAGCTTGTGTTCCAGGACTCCACCATAAGGTAGATGTAAATCGTTTGAAAGCAAAAGTCGTTTGAAAATCAGTTGATGTAATGTAAACACACTGTCGGAAAACGTCGGACTCGGTTCAATTAATTAATTTTGGTGAAGTCTAAACCGGTATAAAATTCCGGTTTATATTATATTAAAAAAAGCCAAACCGTGCTTCTTATTATATAATTTGAAATCAAGTCATCGACGACGGCGACGATTGGTTAAGGCAGAATGGAATCGAAGTCAGAGCCAAACGAGTGGAGCTCCGGCGTGTGGGCCCACCTCACCGACGTCCGGCGACGATCGCCGCTGGTTCAGTGCATAACCAACTTCGTCTCGATGGATCTCGTGGCCAACACGCTTTTATCAGCCGGCGCATCTCCGGCGATGGTTCATTCCGTCGCTGAGATCCCTGATTTCACGCCTCATATCCACGCGCTCTGCGTCAACGTTGGGACGCTTACACCTGACTGGCTTCCTTCCATGAAAGCCGCCGCCGAGCTCGCTTCTAAGCTCGGAAAGCCCTGGGTTCTCGATCCCGCCGCCGTGAGCTGCTCCGGTTTCCGGTTAAATGCGTGTTTGGAGCTCGTTGAGCTTAAACCTACTGTAATCAAAGGGAACGGTTCTGAGATTATTGCTCTCTCCTCTGCTTCACCGGGTCAAACTAAGGTATATCGTATAGTTGAATCGTATTAGTGTATGTGGCTGATGAAGTTGAATTGATTATATAATAGTGAACTTCGAAAATTATCTGTTATTTGATTCATCTCAATTCGAAGTTTGTTAATCAGAATTCAAGAAACCAAGAGTTTGGTTAAGAGAGGTTTTGATAAACTGATATTGAATTGAATTTTTGTAGTTTACGCTAGCGAATTCTCTGTTCTTTTAGTGAAGTTTTTTCTGGGCTAATGTATGAGTTTGTTTATAATCTCTTTGTTAGGGTGCTGATAGCTCTCATGAATCTACAGACGCCATAGAAGCTGCAAAGTCATTAGCTTTGTCAAGCGGTGCTGTTGTTGCAGTCTCAGGAGCTGTCGACATCGTTACAGATGGGGAACAGGTGGTTGGTGTCCACAACGGGACAAAGATGATGCAAAAGATCACTGCGACTGGATGTTCTCTATCTGGTCTGGTCGCTGCGTTTCTCGCCGTCGATCCATTGCATTCACTGGAAGCTACGGTTTCCGCAATGTCTGTCTTTGGCATCGCAGGTGAGTTGGGTGAAGCGTTGGCGAAAGGTCCAGCTTCGCTGAGAATGCATTTGATAGACACTCTTTACGGGTTAGATGAAACCACAGTGCTTAGCCTTGTGAGTATCACCAGGTTTGGTTGATGTATACAAGAATCTTCTTCTTCTTCTTGGAATAAAGATATATCTCTGCAACTTTCTTGATCACTTGCAAATATCTATATGAAGTAGGCAGTATTGATTAGGCTTTATGTGATTTGCTTTCAATAAATAACTGTTACACATAACAATGAAAAAAGAACATTCACACTGTCACACACACACACACATGCACAAAGCTTTCAAGTGTTTTGGGTAAGGCTTCTTCTGTGTTTTTTTTTTTTTTTTTCTCTTAGTACTTTAGATGAACAATGATTCTGAGCAAAGACTCTGCTCCGTCGATAAAATGCTGACCCGATGGAATCAATGGCCTGACCTCTGCAAAGCCACAAGCATTCTTGAACCTACCTGTTCCTCCGGTCACAGACAGATGCGACATGGCGCTTCCGATTCGATAAATCCCATAGAAGTTGAGGTTGTCGTTATACTCTCCACCTTCAAGCATAGCCGTGAAAGCCATCATCTGTGTGCTTCCATCTGCAGAGCTAGCAACGTAAACCCCTTGAGCCTTACCAAGCGGCTGCGAACCCAAGTCAGGACCAGATGTGAGTATGTCATCGATCACTGTGATTGTCCCAAACCCGAGACTCAGACCATCAGGACCCAACTGAGTCTGAATCCCGTTGAGGTTCTGACCAGAGTAAGCTGTACCAGACAAGCCTGTACCGAGAGGCACACCGTTGATTCCGTTAACCGTTGGTAAGGCGCCGTTTGCGTTTGGTATGGCTATACCGTTTTCTGGTGGAGTGAAACCAATCTGCTTAGCAAAAGGGACTTGACCGTTGTAAATGTTTCCGAGCAAACCCGTGATTGGTCTCGCCGTGGGGCTGCTTCCTCCGAGTAGATCGTGCATGTAGAGTTCGAAAATGGGATCTTCGGGTGCAGGATCAAGCGCTGCTGCGAAGACAGCAACTGTGAACAAGATTGCTGTTGAAAGCAAGAATGGTGATTGCTTCATCATCATCATGGAGAGAATGGTGTTTGTTTCTCTGATTTATGAACTGATTTCAAGAATTGTTTGATGAATATGTGAGATGTGTGGAATGGTGTTATATATAGAGATGGTGGTGATTGTGAAGTTGTTTGCGTTTTATGATCTTTGTGTAGTTGTTGAATTGAGTTTTTTATATCAATGTTATTATCTTGAATTTCATGAAATTTTTTGAAAATCCAAAAAAAAAATCAAACGTCAGAGATTTGATAGAGTACTCTCGTGAGAGCTCTTTAATTTAGTTGGTACCAAATTCTATTTATTAAAAAATATAGTACTTGTAGCTTAATTTTGGTGGTTTAGGTTGAATAATTAGGAATTAGTTCATGGTTTATTGCAAGAAAATGAGAAAAATAAGACTCAAAACCACAATGTATAAAAATTAATAATTAATAATCTGATTTAGTTCGTGCGCCAATACACTATCTGAGTAAGGATAAAAAAAGAAGTGTGCGAAGGATTTTGAAGAGTAGTGAATATATTTCCGATTGCGAAACCCTAAATCCCCAAATGTCCTTCGCCGAGGAGTTTGAAGCTAGTAAGCAAATCGTATCTTTCTCGAATCGCTTTTTAATAACTTTCTCTGATCGACGAGTTCTCCAATTAGTTTGTGAAATCGATCTCCTTCTCACGTTAGCTACGCCGGTTTGATCATTTCGGATGATTGAATTGATGTCTTGTTCTTGAATTGATCGAGAGTGATGATGATAAGCTAAATGGAATTAGCGTCCCCTTATTATGTATTTGTTAGTCGAATGATGTGAAGATGGAGGTCTGTAATTTTGAAGAATCATCTTTTTTTTTTCATTATCCAAAATCATTTTACAGAAAGAATATGTTGTGTAGAATTAATCAAGCTTTTGTCGCAATATTTGGGGAATTTAAGTAGCTTAAGATGGTTTACCTGTAACATAGATTGATTTGTGTGTTTCTCTTGTTCTTGTGCTATCCTCTTCCTTTGGATATGACCTCTTGTTATCTGTTCATTCCATAATAAGTAAGCAAACTCTTTTCTTGATGTATCTGGCGCAGATCTTGTGTCGCTTGCCCATGTTTTGCAGAAGAAATATGCACTCCTGAGTGATTTGGACAAAAGTTTGCAAGGTAACAATCATTCGGTTTGTATTTACAGTAGCATCATCATTGTTGTCATCATTTGAGATAGTCATGCTCTGCATAGCTTGCTGCTTTTGGGTTATGTTAGAGATTAGTTGTTTGCTGTGTTTTAGTATAAAGTAAGACTGTAATATATATGCTATGTGTTTATTGTTTTTGTGGATTGTATTTCATCTTTGTTTGTGTCTTTTTCTTTGTGGGTTTTGAGTAGAGAATCAAAGACAAAACGAACAACGGTGTGAAAAGGAGATAGAGGATATAAGAAGAGGCAGAACAGGAAATGTCACGCCCAATACTTCTCTTACACATTTCTCAGAGGAAGCAATTGATGAACAGAAGCACAGCGTCAGGATTGCTGATGAGAAAGTCGCGTTGGCTATGCAGGCATATGATCTGGTATGCTTCCGAAAATCTCTCATTCCTCGGATTTTGTGTTAGCTTAAGTTTTACTGTTCGGTTTTAAAACCTCATTGTGTATTATTTCAATGTTCCTTAAAGTCATTACTTTTCAGATGATATATTGCTTCAGGTGGATATGCATGTTCAGCAACTTGACCAGTACATGAAAAAATCCGATGAGGAGATGCGCAGAGGTCATTTTCTCCCTCGCTGTTTATTCTTTATGTCTTAATTTGTTTTTGCTCCTATCTTATTCGGTAGCTAACTTAAGACAGCGTGGTTTGTTTCTATCAGAGAAAGAAAACGCTGCTGCATCAAACCTCGAGAGCGGCGGGGAAGCTGGGAAGACCGGTGAAGGTAGAAGAGGAGGGCGAAAGAAGTAGGTGGCTTTTATATCATAACATACTCTGCTCAATCGATTGCATCGCCTAACAACAAGAACGTAGGTCCAATAAAACCATATGTTTAATGTTGTGGCAGGACAAGGCTAGCAACAGCAGCGTCAACAGCAGCAGCAGCAGCATCAACAGGGATGAGTTCAAGTGGGATGGATTTGGATCTGCCCGTGGATCCGAACGAACCAACTTACTGTATCTGCAACCAAGTTAGCTACGGAGAGATGATTGCCTGCGATAACAATGAGGTATATATAGTTTCTTTAATCTCTTATCATCATTGTGAGACACTCTTTTGAGACTGATGAGTATAATGAACTCAATTGCAGTGCAAGATTGAGTGGTTCCATTTTGGCTGTGTGGGTCTGAAGGAACAACCCAAGGGGAAATGGTACTGTTCGGATTGTGCTACAGTCAAGAAGAGCAGGAAAGGCCGATGATTTGGATCTAAAAGAAAACTCTGTGTTTCGTTAAAACCTCTGTAGTTTTCTTTCTTATGTGGGGTGTGATTGGTCCATATGACTCATGTGTGTTCTTTCTCGCTTAGGTAGAGTGATATGACAGAATCACTGCGTTTAGAGACCCAAAAGGCTTAATTGCTATTTGATAAGTGTGGTTTAGAGCCCCCAAAAGGTTTTGTGTGGTTAATCTCCATCGAGAGTTTAGTTCCTAGACTTCACTTCAGGTCAAATGTAAGAGGGAGAAGGATTGTTTCAAGACAAAGAAATCTTGCACATCATACATCTGGTTGTGTAATGAACAGTTTTGAGTTAACTCCAAGAAGCGAAACCCTCGGCTGACGAGGAAAATTGCTATATGTAAAAGAAAACAAGAACAATGTGGAGGGAAAACAGCCAATTCCTATTTCAAGACATACTCGCGGTCCCATTTCGATCCTGTATTCTTCATCTGTGTCAAAACCTATTTCAATCAAAATTATATTTGAATTTCATATCTTAATTATACAAAATCGGAATATTCATACATTGACTATAAAACCCATTAGTCAACTTCTGATCTGTCAATTACAGATTTTTACATGGCCATTACAGACTCTTACGTGGCTATACACTCATCTAATCAAACACAAAAATCCTCACTTTATCAAAACGGTGTCCTTTTGGTCAACAAAGCTTGAAAAAAAAATTACAAAACGACGCCGTTTTGTTTTGTTGCCAAAAAATACAAAACGACATCGGGATTTCTGATATCATCTTCTTCTTCGATTTGCTCTGAAAGTAGAAAAAGAGTGTATATGAAAAATCTGTGAAATTAGATTAAAAAAAGAGAGATTAAATTTGAATCTAAATCAATCAGTTTCTGCTAGTGGAAAGTACGAAAATGAGGTATGTTTGTCAATCAATTCATTATATAATTTACTGTCATAATTCAATTTGGGTTACGATTTAGTGAATGATGGTTGGATTTGTCAATTATTAAGCTAATAGGATTCTGGGTACATGTTTATTGTATATTTGCGTGAATGAATAAGAAGAAGTAAAAATGCATATGAGGTGTTCGATTAAATGTGCGAGTGAATCTTTTTTGTTGTATTTCTGGATTTGATGGTCTTCTTTACTATTTCAGGGCAAATCGAAGAAGATGAAGTGAGAAGTTCCGATGAGTTTCTTTAATTTAGCCACAAAACAAAACAGCATCGTTTTGTAATTTTTTTTTTCAAGCTTTGTTGGCCAAAACGACACCGTTTTGATGAAGTGAGGATTTTTGTGTTTGATTAAGTGACTGTATAGCCACGTAAGAGTCTGTAATGGCCATGTAAGAATCTGTAATTGACAGATCAGAAATTGACTAATGGGTTTTGTGGTCAATGTATGAATGTTCCAATTTTGTATAATTAAGGTATGAAATTCAAATATAATTTTGATTGAGGTAGGTTTTGGCACAGATGAAGAATACAGGATCGGAATGGGACCGCGAGTATGTCTTGAAGTAGAAATTGGCCGTTTTCCCACAATGTGGAGGTGAGAATCTAACTACTATAATCTGATTATCCCAAGTAAAACTCAAATCCAAGCATACTTGCAATTTTTTGAAATATTATAATCTTTGTTCAAAGAACACAGCAGGAGAAGAGAGAACGAACTTGGAACATAGCTTTTAAAATGGACAAATTAAAGCTGCACTAAACTTGGAACATAAGAGCACACACATGGGGAACAATCTACGAATGCAGATTCTCCCAGATGTGCTTCTTTCAAGGATCCATCCACTCCAACGATGTGAGCTGCATTGTGAGAGGGGTTATCTCTAACTTTGCTTCTATGAATAACCACGGCGACTTTATTCTCCTCGTTAACGAAGAAACTCCAAGCATATACCCAAAACATAAGGTCAAAGCGTGATCCCATATTCACTGCCAAGAACACCTTGCTGCTCCACGACACAGCGTTGGGCTCAATCTTGGTCGTAATCCATATCTCCATATGTAATGTATCCCATCGATTGAACAAAACCGCAAGCTGCTCTTCTCTAACACTTGATAGAGTCACACAATGAATAATAGGAAACCGTTGAACCGGAAGAGGCAATCGCGGACCAAATCTCTCTCTTGTGAAATCAAAACAGACTAAGCAATCATCTTTGATTCCTGCAACCAAATTTTTAGCAAACCAGTAGGTATTTCCCTTGAGAGAGACGCCACGCTCACGAGAATATATTTTCCAGCCATCGTCTAGAGTGAAATCGAGAACCCTCCATGAATTAGAGTTAAAGTCGTAGATTTTGAACTCAACACAAATATCAGCATCATCAGTAAAAACCAAGACTTTGTGCCTGCGGGACTTGCGGCTCTTGTCGTATCCAAGAGCATACGAATACTCGTCTACAGATTCGGAGTATTTATAACTAGGTTCGAGCCACCTGGTTATCTTTCATGACGCATAACACTAAACCTTCGCAGTCAAAGACTTGAGATACATCGACTTCATCTGAACCGTCTATGCTAATAAGTTTACCTTCACGTTTGATACATGATTCAACGTTGTTGTTGTTGTAAAGATTGACACGCATCAGATAAACCCTATAATCCATCATCATGACTACCGTTAACTCCTTTGCTTCTTCTACTAACTTTGCTTGATGAACAAGGTGCTTCTTTGCAAAGCTCCTATTTTTGGATAAAGTGTTCCAATTTTTGCAAGTAGTTCGAACTCTTCTCAGAGATGTCATCGGAATCCTAGAGAGCACCTCCTCCGCCATATCCCTTGGAAGATCGCACATCTTCTTCATCTTTCAAGGAGGATCGATGTAACGCAAATTCGTTTAGAGTAACACTTTACTTTTCCTCTCGTCTTTGGATTTGAGATTTTCTCAGCCTCTCCTCGATATATATATGCTCTTATCCATGTCTAATGCTTAAGGCTGGAGTGGTGATGTTTCTCTAGTTTCAAAATTACATAAAATATTTATATTATTAAACTAAAACTCCCTTTTCATATTTATATGCTTAAGGTTGCATGCATCGTTCCCCTTCTTCGAAGTAAAAAGGAAAGGAAAAAAAAAAGGAGAGTAAAATTAATAAACAAATCCACATAGGAAAAGGTAAGTGTAGTTTCTTGTTTGTCTTACGGAGTTCCTCGTTTATAAGCAAGGCAAACATGAAAAAACCAAAAACCTAATTTTATAATTACGGAGCTCCGAGTCGTTTACTTCTTCCTTAGTTGAAGAAATACTATTTAGGGTCCCAGCCACATCTTGGCAACGATGACGGTCTACTTGCAAACGATGTGACGCTTTATTCAAAGACCAAAATTCACTGAGAAGCCCTTTCGTATAGCTGCTTAATTAGTTTAAGGTTTGGCTCAAAGGATTCTCATTAGGAAAGAGTTTTTATAAAATTAGTTAATTTTAAACCCTATTATAAGAAAACTGTTTTATAAATATTAAAATGTAATTTTTTAAAAATGCTATAAAAGACAAACATTTTTATAAAAAATATTATGTAAATTCTTTAAAATCATCATATAAAAGTTGATGACATAGTGCATTGAGGGCATCGACATGAGATTAAAAAATTCGATATGATTGGTCCACATTAACATATTCATTAAATAAAAAAATGTTAAGTTATGATTAGGATAGAAAAAGTTGATTTAATTGATCCACATCAACTTTTAAATCAAACCAAAAATTATTAACTATAACTAAAACATTAAAAAGTTAATTTAACAAATTATGTCCAACAAAAAAGGTAAATTCAATCTGGTTGATCCAAATCAACATATTTATTAAATCAGAAAATATTGATATGGTTTAAAATTTTAAAAGTTAAATAAAAAAAATTAACAATTAACAGAACATGTATAAAAAAAGTAATCATTATCAATTATCAATTTAAAATAATCTACAACAACTCAATTTAACAATTAAAACAATGAAAACTGAATAAAAATATAACATAAAACTAAGTATGATTAGGACGGAAAAAGTTGATTTAATTGATCCACATCAGCTTTTAAATCAAACAAAAAATTATTAACTATAATTAAAATATTAATAGTTAATTTAACAAATTATGTCCAACAAAAAAAGTAAATTCAATCTGATTGATCCAAATCAGCATATTTATTAAATCAGAAAATGTTAATATGGTTTAAAATTTTAAAAGTTAAATAAAAAAATTAACAATTAACAGAACATGTATAAAAAAAGTAACCATTATCAATTATCAATTTAAAAAAATCTACAACAACTCGTTTTAATAAATAAAACAAGGAAAACTGAATAAAAATATAACATAAAACTCTTGGAAGACATGATAAAGAATGAAAAAATAGTATTGCATGATCATTACAGCTTCCTAACAAAATTAAATGTGAATCAACATGAATCATAGATTATATATACTGTGGTACACAACATCAATAAGACTTTCAATAAAAAACTATATATTTGAACACATAAACCTTTAAAAAAAAAGAACTATAAAAATTCTATGGAAAACAGAAAATAATACCAAAATCTTAGCAAGATTATATTTCTCTAAATCAAATGTATATGTACGTCAAAGTTGGATAATTCGATAGGTGTCATTGTTATTATTTTATCTAATAGTTTTTTAAAATTTATAAATAAAAATAGAATAAATTACACATTATATATTAAATTCTCTAATATAAATGAAAATTTCTATAAATATATATAATTTTTAATAATTTTAAAGATAGTAGCTAAAAAAAATAAACCAAAATATTAATACAGACTCGCGCGAGTTATATACCTAGTAATATATAAGAATTCCTATTTTAGTTAAATACTATATAAAAACGTTTTTATATAACAGTTTTTTTATTTTTATTTTTTTGAACTTTTATAACAGTTTTATTAATAGTATTATATATATAAATATTATAATTTACTAATAAAAATAATGATAACTATTAAAAAATTAAAAAGAATTTTAAATTAAAATTCTTATTTTGTTGACTATCGTAAATTTATAGATCTAACAAGTCTAACACAATACTTTATCTAACAATCAAAAACAAAAAATTTAATTCTAACAATCCTAAATCAAACAACCTAACATTAATCCATAATCTAACAATTCAAAGAAATAACTAACAAAATGAAAAAAAACTTACATGTTTTCGGATTTGGTAGAAGGTGGTTTGATAAGAAAAGAAGAAATGAGATTTGAAGAAACTTTTAAAGGTTCGAGAATGAAAAGAAAATGCATGGGAGTTTTTAAAGAAAACTTTTTGACGGGTATATCCGTCAGAATTTCACTTATGGTTTTCCCAAAAGTTTCAAAATCTAGTATTATT